GCAGGTGGATCTCTGTGAGTTCGAGGCCAGCCTGGTCTACAGAGTGAGTTCTAGGACTGTTACACAGAGAAACCCTGTCTCAAAACAAAAGAGGGTAGTAAGAGACATGATAACTAAACACAATGGATAATTCTGGCATGGGCCTGTGCTGTACAAAGGGTAAGTGGTATTCTGTAGAGAAATGCCCTGGCTTGCTACAATACATAAGGTGTTTGGTGGCTGTGAGATATCACCACAGCACCATAGTCCCAAAAGGTTGGGAAACTAAGGTCCTTATACTGTAATTGGGACTTTTATGTAAATTAAAGAGTGTTTCAAAACCAAAGACTATTTTAATAATCTAGTAAGTTTTTGGAAAGTAGAAGATGAGATGATCAGTGTTCAGTTGGAAAAACAAAACACAAAACCCTAAAACATCTTGGATAACTTTAGCAGGGCCTCTTCCAACAGCACCCGGAACACACTGGGTTTCTATGTAAATCCTGAGCCAAGACTCTCACGCAAAAATGTAGAAAGCCTGCCCCCTACTGGCTATGTCTCAAATGTATTTAGGTCAAAGAGGAAAACAATTCAGGCTTTCCCTGGGGAAGGGGGATGCAGGGCTTTTGAACTGGGTGTGGCACACTCCTGTAATCCCAGTCTTTGGGAGCCAGGGACAGGAGGATCTGGGGTTCAAAACCTGCCTGGACCACATGACAGCCTGTCTAAATAAAAGGGGCGAGGTTTCTTACAGACACCAACCTATGCTGGCTGTCGTAGAACAAGAGCCGCAGGTGCTAACCCAAAGTGAACTCAGAGACCCCTGGGAGAAGGCAGGGGGATTTCCAGACGAGCCCCAGGGCATACCCCTCAGTGTCAAGTTCAAGCGAGGGGTTGAATGTAGAAGTTTCCATCCCTCAGCCTAACTCCAGCAGAAGATGAGCACGTCTCCCAACCCCTGGAGAAAATAAGCTCTCTTTAAAAAGAAATGGGGCCCTTATCCCTTTCCTCTGAGCCGCTGCAGTTCCATGCCTGGGTAGAGGAGAGTTGAACCTAGCCTAATGCTTTTCCTGCCCTGACACCCTGTGTGGAGTAGAGTTCACTGACTTCACACAGAAGGCCTGGGTACCGACCGGGTCACTGCCCGGAAGAGTTAGGTGGGTATTTAACCCCTTAGCTTTTTTGTTGTTGTTGTAAGACTTGTGTTTCTATAAAATTAAACAAATTGCCCATCAATCATACTTCTTGCTGCAGATGGCTGCAACAGTTGCAAATTAGAAGAAACCAACACAGCTTTAACAGATGGTCGGTAATAAACAGATACAAAGATAGTATTGGTCCTGCCTCAGTGGGACTGACTTAGTAGACTTCCCAAGGGAGGCCTTACCCTCTCCAAGGAGCAGATGGGAGGTGGGAGGGGGATTAGGGTGAGTGGGAGTAGTGAAGGGAGGAGGAACTGGGATTGGAATGTAAAAAATAAATTAATTTTAAAAACTGAAAAAAAAAATGGCAACAACAACAAAAAATAATCTGGGCAGTTAAAACGCAGTAGATGTGAGCACTGCCCTCCCAGGGATCTACCCCGAGGGAGCACTGATGGAAGAGATCACTTCGTAGAGGAGGCGCGACTAAGAGACAAAACCCTGCACATGACGTACGTGGTGATACCCTGTGACGGCAGGTACGGATGTCAAAAGAAAGAAAAGGTATCCTTGACATACCCACTGTGCACCGGCCAGAACTCAACCCCAAAATACCCCGTTTTGTCTGAATAACTACAATCTCACTTCCAGAAACCCCCCCTTAGTCTCAATGTGTTCACAGGAAATCTTCCTCTTTAAGCATTCATGATTGTGAGTCTAAAGCATCGGAAGTTGGTCACACTTCCCACCTTCTTCTTACATGGGATACACTTACTTTGCACTTATTTCAGGCATTCTTGAAGAAGAGCTTAACTAAAGGAAAATTCTTGGGAAGAATGTTTTGAAAACTACTGCATGCTTTGGCACTGGGGGTGGGGGCGGGGGGGGTACAAAACTGAATGCATTTCAAGCATGTGTACAGCTCTCCTCACCCACTGGTGCAGAAGTCAAGTGAATCCAGCAAAACCATTCAGCTAGGATGTGTGTGCTACCCACCCCTGTAGGTGACCCAGTGTGCACCACCAAGGACTGAAATGTGCACAGTCAGAGTCAGAAGATGTGGCCTATGTTTGGTCTCCTAGGGATAAATGGGAAAAGCTAAGTAAACACAATCTGGTGAGATGGGCAGTGCTGGTAAAGCTTTGTTCACATCACAAGTAAGCCTCTTCGGCCTTCCAGCACGGACTAGACACAGGTGGCTCTCGGGGAATCCTCCAGGCCTTCAGAACCAGACTGGAATTTATGAGACATCCACCTGCATACGTACAGGCTCTCAGCCTCTCCAGTGTGAAGGCTGCGATTGTCCAACTACGGGAACTGTACCAGTCAAGCCAATCGAACCCAATAAATCCCCTTTATATATGCATTATACATGACAGAATTCTGCCAGGTGGTGCTGGAGCACACCTTTAATCCCAGCACTCGGGAGGCAGAGGCAGGCGGATCTCTGTGAGTTCGAGGCCAGCCTGGTCTACAGAGTTAGTTCCAGGGCAGGTTCCAAAGCCTCACAGAGAAACCCTGTTTTGGGGTGGGGGGGAGAGACTACATGACAGAATTCTATCAGTTCTGCTTCTCTAGAGAACCCTGAATAATACACCCATGATGCCAGCAATCTGCCTCACCAAAACCTCTAGCTGGATTCAGGCTCGGCAAAAGTGCAGGCACAGATAGGACGCAATCCCAGTCTCCTCCTGGGCTCCGGCTTTCCCTTTGCAGGAAGGTGGGGGTTTCTGCTTTCCTTCCCTGCTCAGAGGACCACAGTGGGAGCCTATGCTGCTTACTCTTGGGGTACAACACTCTTCTGTGGCTCCCCACTTTTCGGGTGTTCCGGCACCCCTTTGATTTCTGACCCTCGGCTTTCTGTCTTGCCATGTGGGCAATTGCTGTGGTCCATTGGTGTTACTTTCCATTGGAAGCCTGTTGTCTAGGGGAAGTGGTCCCAAGCAGGCTCCTATTTCCCAAAGATCAAAGTACCAGAATCTTACGTATGTTATAAAAAGTTGTTTTGCTTTTCATTGTCTTGTTTTGTGTGTGCTTTATTTCGTTGCCAGATATGGTGGCTCACGCTTTTAATCTCAGCATACCAGAGGCAGAGACAGGCATATCTATGAGTTCAAGGCCAGCCTGGTCTGTTGTGTGCAATGTTTTCTACTCCTTTGGCTTTTGGAGGGGCCCAAATAAATCACACACTGAGGCTTATTCTTAGTTATGAATGCCCAGCCTTAGCTTGGCTTGTTATTGGGCAGCTTTTCTTAAGTTATCCCGACTACCTTTTGCCTCCGGGCTTTTTCCTTTTCTTACTTCTGTATATCTGACTTTCACTCTTACTCCATGGCTGCCTGGGCGGCTGGGCGGCTGGCCCCTGATGTCCTCCTGTGTTCTTTAGCTCCTCTTCCTCGATTCTCCATACACGCTGCCCGTCAGCCCTCGCCTACCCTTGCTCCATGAGGTGTTACAGACAGGCAAGGTAACAGAGTTAAACAAATGTAGCATAAACAAAAGTCACATACCTGAAAATAATATTCTACAGGCTAGCCAGGGTTACATAATGAGACCCTTTCTCAAAGAAAGGAAGGAAGGAAGGAAGGAAGGAAGGAAGGAAGGAAGGAAGGAAGGAAGGAAAAGAAAAAGGAAGAGAAAGAAGAAATCATGTTTTCCCCATCTGTTCGGTCCCTGCCTAAAATGTTATGAGAACATTAAAATTCACATATAAAACATTGTGTGATCCTATGATTTATATATAAAAGTAAATATTTGTTCTTCATGTTCTTCATCCTTGGCTCACAAAATGCCTGGGATCTCCAGCAATGAGAATCTCATTCCTAAACTTCAGAACATGAGTATGCACTCTTTTTTGATAAACGATTATCAAACTGTGTGGGAATGTCTTGTAGATGGTATGTATGGCTGAAGGCTAGTGGCCCTAACTAGTTGTAGGACAGAGACTGAATACCAAAGACCAGGACAAGATTAGTACTGAGATTTGAACCCCCAACCCCCCTAATCTTCCAGGGAAGGAAAAAGGCAGAAGGGTGAAATGGTCATCAATGACCAATGGGGGGATTAGGATCCAATCTATTAACAAAATCTCCCAAGAGCAGTTTCAGAGCGCTTTGAGACAGGTGACCCTGGCAAGTACACCCTGTCATCTCCAGCTGGCTATTCACCTGGACCCCTTACAGTGGCTAAATAAGTGTTTTTCTGAGTTCTGAGTCTCTCCAGCATATTCATCATCCCTGAGGAGGCAATTAAAGCCGACAAGAAGCCACCAGCGATGTTCGGTTCATGGTTGAGGGAATGGTCCACCACACAGTGACCATATAGCATAGGCAGGCAGCTGCATGGTGAGCAGGCAGCTGCGAGGAAGGGCCTGCAGGCTCAGCTGGCTTTCCCCTGTGCCTCCTCTTATGGAGTCTGGGTACCACCCTCAGTCAAGGCAGCTCCTACCTGCTCAGTTAATCTTTTCTAAAAATGTTCTCACAGGAAGGCATAGCTCACTAATAATGTTCTAGGCATTTCATTATCCAATCAAGTGGACACTCCAAATTAACCATTACACCCAGCTCCCAGACTAAAATGTACACACAACCAGAGACTGCAGAGATCTGCCTCACCCCTGAGACAGTCATCAGTTACAGACACCCGACTGGTTATCCTGGAGAATCTGGTGCCAGAGAGTGTAGAGGAATTTAGGAGCAGGATAAACAACTTTCTCCGATATCTCTGGGACTGTTTGCTATACATTATATAATTAAATCTGTTAGGGGATTTACATGACTTCTAGGTTTTAAGAATAATATTTCAACTACCTATGATTTATTGATCCTCTTACAGAAAGGAATAAAAATGAAGCATGATAGGATCACTAACGTTCCCACACATAGTTTACAGATTTTATTAACAATCAAATACATTTCGCACTTACATAGGAAAATAAATGCTTCTTTGATCAATAATTAAATGGAACCTACCCAGGACCTTTCAGGGTTCTCAGAAGGTACCAGATGTCCAGAAGTAAGATGCCAGCTCTCCAGGATCAGTAGAATAGCGCTTTGCTAGAACCTACTTAAAAATTTACCAAACAGCTTTCCTATTAGTAGTTTAACTGCAATTACAACAGGAAAAAAAAAAAAAAGCCAGTGTTTTTACTTAGTTTTAGATATAGCTCACACACAACATGAATCAATCCTGACTCTACAGCTAAGACACTTTTTTTTATAAAGGTGCTTGACAGAAATTCGGGTCTCATGTTAGACCAAGAATTTCAGATGCAATAAGGCAGTTTCTGAACTCCAAGTTTATTTAGTGCATGACAGTTGAAGCAGCAGATACTGCCTCAAAGGAAATACTTAATGTGCTTCCTTATTCCCCCACCCAGTGCTGATTATACTAGTGTCTATCATGTTCAACCCTGACGGGGAACACACTGCTGATCTAGTTACTCACGCTCCTTCCCAGACGAATGGTATGTGTTGCACTTTTTTTTTTTTTTTTTTTTGACTGGGGGTGGAGCTCGGGTTAAGACAGGGTTTATAGGCGTGCACCACTATGTCAACTACTTGTCTCTACTTTTAAAAAGACAGCTAAATCATCTAAACCTCGTTTTCCACTGGATGATGTAAGTCTTTAGTTTGTGAATTCTCTTGGTCTCTTAAATGTATGCATCAAGGAGAAGACTTAAACTTAATGAGCCCCGTGTGACCCTCATTCTCGACAACGGAAAGCCACAGCAAAAACAGAGCCTCATAGAAATTCCAACACTGAGGGTTTGTTTTTTTTTTTTAAATCTGAGTGCTTAGGAGGAGTCAAAGTTGTACAAGTTAGTAGTCCCTGCAAATCCGTAAGTTCAAGACACACGATGACCTAACAGGCTTGTATTCAAGTCTCCCCGTCCAAGTCCCACTTCCCTAGAAGGTCTGTTTGAGTCCACTGCTCGTAAACGAAGGGTAAGTGGTAACCATGTGACCCTCGTTAGCCCAGTCACTGTACCATACCATACACCCCACTCAGAGTTTTCTAAGTCCTTCCCTACACAAGCGTAAACATAAACAAAGAGCCATCAGGAATGGATCAGCCTTTGACATTCAACACACCAGGCTAGCTTCTACAGAGAATTCTTAAGAAGGGCTTTGAATGTAAGTATCTCTTTAACTTCAGACTTCAATATTGAAACTGCCAAGTTCCTCCATTTTTCCATTAAAAAAAAAAAAAAGGTAAATATACTTGAGGAGAGAATTAGAAGGTAAAGTTGGGACAAATTACTAAGTAGGTTTAAGAAAAAAACTCAATTTAAAAAAAAATGCAGGGGCTGGAGAGATGCCTCAGTGGCTCAGTGCTTACTGCTCTTGTAAAGGATCCTAGTTCAAGTCCCAGCACCCACATCAGGTGGCTTAAAGCCACCTCTGACTACTCCAGCTCTAAGGGATCCAACAATCTCTTCTAGCCTCCATGGGCACCTGCGCTCACATGAACAGACATACACAGTCACACATAGTTAAAAATAAGCCTTTAAAAAAAATACTCCAATAAAAAATAACAGTTGCATGCTTAGGGTTGCTGGGCGCATTCTTTTTGATATTAAACCCAAATGAACTATTCAGTAATGGAACTCTAAATGGCATGTCCAACTGATAAAACATTATCAGTCACTAGATAATTAGGAAAATGGTCAAACAGTGTGAAAAGGCAAATTCACAAAGGGCCCCTATGGCATTTCGGCAGTGTACAACTCCATGTGCAAACACTGCACAGAGATGCTCTGTCACCTGGTCATGCAAAGGGTCTTCCCTTTATTGAATAACAATATAAAACCCCTCTGGTGGCTTTAAATTCTTGAAGCAACATGCAGAAAAAAAAAAAATGAAAATAAATGTCTCTGAAAACTAATGACCTCACTCAGAAATCCATTTGCCTCTCCCAAGGAAAGTGTCAGCTGGCCCACAGTATAGTTCTGAGATATACAATTAATGGGACTGAATGGCTTCCCAGAATGCCCTGTGGCCTAGTCCCCATGGTTGACGTCATCAGGTAGACCCTAATGAGCCCATCTTGAGCGCTTTCATACGATACACAGTTGGTTCGTAAAGACAACATTAAATGTTTCCTCATCTCTGCCTATAGAAAACCCCAGAAGTACAATCGCATTCCTGTCACAATAAAACAGTTCTCAGTGAGCAACCAAGCTCCGGGGTCTGATGGTCTGTTTCCAGTACTGAGGTAGAGCCCAGGGCCTTGCATGGCACAGACAAGGCTCTACCACGGAACGATACCCTTAGCCTCAAGTTACAGGTTTAGAACGGGAAGCTGTGACCATTAAAAAAGACCACTATCTGACATCCTTTATACACAGGGTTAAATCAAAATGAGGGGTTTTTAATAGAAAAGGGAACTGTTCAGGGAAAAACGCCGTCTTTTCCTAGCTGCAGTAGAACAGGATTCCAGGCTCTCCCTCAGGCCCCCAAAACATAGAGAAGGGCTATTTCTGATGGTCTTATAATGACAAGTTATGGCGTCCTAGCCACAAGGCTTCAATGAAAGTGTCAATCAGGAGTAATTCACACAGAGTATATACTGTTCTCAAACAGTTGCCTAATAATAAATTTAATTAAAGATAAGAAATTATCATAACATTATGTTCATCAAATATGTGGATACGCGTCAATAAATGTTACAATAAAGCGGTCATAGTTACTGCAGTACTCTATACTACTACAAAAATAGCCATCGAAGACCTAACACACTCAGCATGATAAGGCTTTACTTCTTACAAGCTGCGTATCTTTCAGTGACATTCTCCCAGTTGATCACATTCCAAATAGCTTTCAGATAATCGGGTCTGACATTTTTATACTGAAGGTAATAGGCATGCTCCCACACGTCAATCCCCAGCAGCGGAATAAGGCCTATCAAGAAGAGGGGAAAAGGTTACTCTTCAAACACATCATCCAATTGCTTCTTATATCATAGAAAATTTGCATAAGGGTGACTATTCATACAAAAACATTTTGCATTTTTATTCTGGAAGAAAACATAATAAATCTGTATAACAGTCCCCGGAAAGTCAGTTAGTTTACAGTATCTAATACCTGCTCTTAAAATAGCAACAGAATCATTTAACATTGAGCCCCAGCCTTGCTCAGTGTCGGTCTGAGCCACAGTGAGGTATGCTGCCTGCAGAGGCTGAGGCTCTAAGCATCCCTTCCAAGCTCTGAGCACCAAGGGTTTGGAGGGGAGAAGTCTGAAGAACCTTCTCTATTCTCCAAGGGCAATTTTAGTTTTCGTTTAGTTTTAGTTTAGAAAAATGATTACTACCTTCAGAAATTAAATGGTATAAATGAAAAATGAATGTGTGTGTGTGTATGTATGTATGTATGTATGTATGTATGTATGTATGTATGTACATCCTCAAGCCAGATATGGTGGCACAGGTCTGTGTTCCCAACCATGGGAGACTGAGGCAGAGGGTATTGAGCAGGCCAGACCACCTTGATCAGCAAAGCAAGACTCAAGCTTTTCTTTGCAAACATCTCCACCAGTTTATCTAGACCAGTATGAGGGACATAACTTTGTTACTAATAGAGTAGCAATATTTTAATGACTTTCCAGGCTAAGGCACTTTCTGTGTGAAGAGAAAGGACTATAGAAACCAGAGCCTCTCGGTGAGGTACCCTGAGAAGTACAGACTCTGTGAACAACTTTCTGTATGTAAGTTTCTCACGGCTTTATCGGCGTCTGCGGCATCTTACCGCCCCCAAAATACATTTATATTCCCCCAAAATCTGAGTAAATGCAGAAAAGAAAGAGACATGGGCAGGACTGGGAAGAGAAGCAGAGAGCCTCCGATGAGCCCTCACAGCAGAGACGGGAGGGCCACAGCCTAGCGCTGCACACCTCGGCCACATTTTATAAAGGACATCTACTCCAACTGGGCCCAGGGAAGAAAAGAGCATTGCTGAGCCGGGGGTGGGGGGTGGGGGGTGTCTCATACAGGAAGCCCTGCGGAAAGGCAGGCGTGCAGGACCTGAGTTCCGTCCAGTTCAACCGCAACACTCAGAGAGAGCACAAGGTCCCAAGGCAGGCTCCGCTTCTGTGTGCGCCTTCCCTCTCAAAGCTTATCTAATCTTGCTTAGCTTTTTACTGTAATGTATATTTATAATTAAAACTGACCCTAATTTTCCACAGGATGAAGCGGGACTTGTGACTGAAACATTATTATTAAGGAGCCTACAAAAATCCAAGTGTTTATTTTACAAAATATCAGCTTCTGTTGTGACGACTCCAATATAATCTAGTAACATTGGCTCAGATTACTACACATTCCTAAGTCTAAACTCTGCTACTTCACCTCATTTCTAGCTCACTGCTCTCTGGAAAAGGGTATCTCGGGAGGGAAAAGATGAAGAGTTTTAAAGCTTACCTGTGGTTCCTTGCAGTGGGTCCTGATTAGAGCAGGCAGCAATCTGTAAGCGACCCTGCTCCTTATTGAAGCCAAGCCAGCCCCAGCCTGAACCCTGAACTCCAACAGACACAGCAGTCAGCTTCTCCTTAAACTTCTCAAAGGACCCGAAGTCACGTTTGATAGCCTCCAGCAACTCTCCTGAAGGAAGAAAAAGATTTCAAAAACCGCAATAAAATGCTATGTTCATAACACTAAAATAAATACTCTTGTCAAAGAACCAACTGGACAACATCAGTCTAAAGACACAGACAACCAAGGGAGCCTGCCCCATGCCAGTGTTCCTGCTCCGGGAGCCAGACACTAAGCTGAGAGTCTCCATTAGAATCATTTTTAATGAAGGCTGATTAATGCAGTTAGGGATTTCTTCCATCCCTGTGCTATTTTTCACCAGGAAAGAAAGAACAGTCTCCATTGGCTTTCTTTTGGTTTTCTTCCCCCCCCCCCCATCTAACAGTTTTGACTTTGGCATCACTTGAAAGTTAGTGCTGCTACTCAGTGTTCTTTCTCCAAGTCTAGATCTTCCCATCTTTTTCGGTTTTTTGTTTTGACTTTTCAAGACAGGGTTTCTCTGTGTAGCCCTGGCTGCCCTGGAACTCACTCTGTAGACCAGGCTGGCCTCGAACTCACTGAGATCCACCTGCCTCTGCCTCCCAGTGCTGGGATTGAAGGTGTGCGCCACCACCACCCAGCGGTTCCTCCCATCTTTATCAAACTATTCTTAAAAGAACTCTTGTCTCTTTTGCTATTGAGCTAACGGTGCACTTTACGAGGGCTGGAGCTCGATGAACAGACCTGACTGGCATTCATGAAGCCCGGGATTTGACCCCAACAAAGTAAGGGAAAGAGAAACGGGGGGGGGGGGGGGGGACGACGACAATCACACACACACAACCTGGTCTCAAACTTCTGACCCTCCTGCCTCCACCTCAACGATGCTGGGACTGCAGGCATGTGGTACCCCGTCCCTAGCTCGACCCCTTATTCTGCAGCAATATAGAATTAGCCCTGCATTAGGCACATAACCTGAACCGAGGGGCCCAACATGCCACTTCCCTCATCCTACACAAGTGGTACAAGCCGTGCATCAGAAACGTCGGCACCACCTTGACACGCTTTAAACCCTGCTCACGGGCTCGCAAAACCTCGCAGGTATCAAGTCCTGGTCTGAAGCACTTGAGAGAGTAAATGAGTAAGGCAGGCTGCCTTTTTAGCGATGGTTTAAAAAGAAAAAAAAATTAACAACAGGAGTCTGGGAATGTACCTCGGTAGAAGGTTGACCTAGCACGTGGGAACGCGTGGAAAACCAGGTTCCACCACCACAGAGACCAGGGGTAGAGGGGGGTGGGGGGAGGGGGTGGGGGTGGGGGAGGGTAAAACAACGCAAGCAGATGAGTAGGGCACACGTAAGAGGGAGAAGAAACCAGGGTGGAGCTTTACCCCACAGCCCGCACCTTCCCTAATGGATAACTGAAGGCACCTGAGTCTCCACAAGCCCCAGGGACATCAGGAGGACCTCCCCAGCCATATGGACGAGGTGCTGTCATTACAGAAAACTGTGCACATCGCTCATTGCCCAAAGCGTTTCTTCCTGTTTTCGCTTTTATTTCCATGGAAAACTTACTTCCCTGGGACAAATGACTGTTTATATTAGGAATAGTAAACAAAGGCACTACCCCAGGAACTTTACATACAATCCTGAAAGCAGCCCCATAATCACCCCGTATAACACAGATGACACAAAAGTACACAGTACAAGTGGGTAGCCGTCCGTCACACCCCAGTGGGTCCAGGCTGGAAGTGACAGCTCATCTTTTCTAAGTGCTAGTTTTGTCCGGGCTTTCCCTAACAGTTTCCCTAAGAGAGGGCAGGCCAGAGAGAGAGAGAGAGAGAGAGAGAGAGAGGGGGGGGGGGGAGGGGGAGGGGGGGGCAGAGGGAGAAAGTGGGTGACAGAAATCCTTGGATCCATTCTCTACTCCTCCTCCCCTGTGAAACTTAACAACCTGCCACACCCTAACTATAAAAAATACACCAATATGATAACTCAGGGAAAATCCAGGTAACAAACAAATGGGCAGTCTTCTGGGGGGCAAAGGTCAGTGGGCACATATCTGCCATACAGAAGACACTGAGTTCAATCCCCAGAATAAAAAGACAGACAGACGCTGGTCAGTGGTAGCTCGTGAGGCGGAGGCAGGTAGGTTTGTGTGAGTTCGAGGCCAGCCTGGACTACACCAGCCTGAACTACAGAGAGAGAGTTCCAGGACAGGCTCCAAAGCTACACAGAAACCCTGTTTCAACCCCCCCCCCAAAAAAGGCAGGTATGAGGGAGTGGGAGAGTGGGGGAGCACTAGCTGGCTCAGAGAGCAACAGCACTTCCTCCACAAGCCTGGCGAGGCAGAAAAAGAAAACCAGCTGACCACGCTGTCCTGAGACACCTCCACACACATCATGCACAGATACACACTCAATAATAATACTAATAATGAAATAATAATAATAATGATGTATACTTTTAGCCAGGTGTGGTGGCACACAACTTTAATCCCAACAGCTGGATCTCTGTGAGTTTGAGGCTAACCCAGTCCTACTAATCTACACAGGGAGTTCCAGCCAGAAATACACAGAGAGACAACCTAAAAAAAAAAAAAAAAAAAAAAAAAAAAAATTGAATAAATAAATTTCTAAAGACTGTCTACATAAAGTTCCAGGCCAGCCACAGCTACACAGTAAAACCCTGCCTTTTAAAGAATAAATAAGAAATAAATAAGGAAAAACCAAAACCAACAGTCATTCCTACAGTACACCAAATATAAAGCTGTACTAGCAAATACCAACCTTTGGGTTCTCCACCACCATTAGGGCTCAGGTTCGTCCAGAAAATGGAGTGATTGATATGTCCCCCACCATTGAACTTCAGGGCAGGTTGAAGAGCAACCTGAGTCGTAACATCTCCTGAAATGTAAAAAGCAAGCAAACACCTATTAGAAATTCTTCCTCTGGCCGGGCATTGGTGGTGCCTGATCTACAGAGAGAGTTCCAGGACAGCCAGAGCAACACAGAGAAACCCTGTCTCAACAAATTAAAAAAAAAAAAAAAAAAAAAAAAAAAACCTTTCTAAATCTGCAAGAGTTCTACAATTAGGCATTACAACAAAGCATTTCCTTTTTTGTTCACAGAAGCACTAAACAAATAAAGCTCTGACTACATACACAAAGGGGGAGATTAAAATTAAGAAGCTTTTGGAACACTCTGGAGAGTTTTCTAAGTGTCAGATGTCTCCTTAAAGGAAACGCTTTCCCAACTGGGGTATTCCCGATTCACCATGACCTCATCCTTCCCGCCTCTGTTATTCCTAGATCAGAGTCTCTTCCCATATTCAAGGTTCATGTGATTCGCTTATTGCAAGCAAATCTTCCAGAATGTGGTAATTTCCTTGGTTTGGTCATTCAGGTCACACACAGTCATGCTGAAATACCAAATTTCTCCACTAGATGTCCCTAGTCAACCAGATGTCAACCAATTTCCCAGACCGGAGAGTCAGTAAAAGTACATTTAAGAAGTGAATTTTACTACGTAGATTTTTTTTTTTCAAGCAATACACATAATCTAGAGACATGGCTGCCAATTATTTTTTTTCTTTTCAAAACGACTAATAGATTTAAAAGGCAGCATACTATCTTAACTAGCCATTAAAATAATATTCCTAGGAGTTAAGGATTGGCTCAACAGGTAAAAAACAAAAAGTCTAGCCAGGAAAATGTGTCAACCTGACCTGAGCTCATAGTCTGAGTTCAGTTCTTGGATACACAGGGGAAGGAGAGAATCAACTCCCAGGTTAACCTCTGACCCCTACCAGCCGGATGTGGTTTGCTACTACCCCAGCATTCCCGTATACATCACCAGAGGTGCAAACACAAAAGCTCACATACTATGGATTTAAAGTGTACATAAATAACCAACTATTTTTCCATTTTTTGTGACAGATGCTGTCTACCACCAAATAGGAATTTTTCTCGTGCACTTTGACCCCAAAGTTAAACCAAGGAAGGTTCCAAGTCTACCAGCGCTGGCCTGTCGGACTGTTAAGTCCCAACCCCTGCGTTTTCCTCTTCCACAATTAGGAAAGGGTGTGCAGCGGGAATTCCGCTGGGGCTTCTCGGGGGCCGGGGAGCCCCAGTCACAGACTGACCAATCGTACTCGTGTCCGAAACAATGACATAAGCAGGGCGCGGGCTGCCGCCTCCCGCACGTGCTGCCGGGCCACCGGCGGATCGCTGGCTCTGAGCGGCGGCCCGGCCACCTTGCCACTCAAGGGCACCTGGCTGACCCAGCCTGGGCGCTCTCAGCCCTCGGGCAAATGGCTGCCACTGCTACCTGAGCAGGCAAACTTTCCCAAAGCCACGTTATGTAACCACCGCCGGCCTTTTTTTTTTAAACGTCCATGTGCAAAACAAAAACTAATAAACACTCACCGTGCAAAAGAGCAGCGGTGTCCGGGAGCTGCCTCTAAAGGACTGACTTCCAGTTCACCGATGGCAGCTGGCAACACGGGTGACGAAGACGGACACCACCACCCCCCAAACCCCCACCCCGGCTCCAATAAATAGCAGCAATCGGGGACTGACTTCTGAGGTCTGTGCAAACCTGCATCGAGGCAGCGCCCCTCCCGGCCGGTGAAAAGGGGTGGAGGGGGGGGGAGAGGTCGGTCAGGTGGGGACGCGGCGCCCACCCGGGCCCCTCGCACCTACCCTTGGCCAGGGCCTCGCGGTACTTCTCCTCGGTGGCGTTCAGATTGTTCACGTAGGCCGCGTGGTGCTTGCTGTGGTGCAGCTGCATGATGTGCGCGTTGATGTGCGGCTCCAGCGCGCCGTAGTCGTAGGGCAGGTCGGGGAGGCTGTGCTTGTGCCGGGAGCCCGCCGCGCCCGCCGCGCCCGCCGCCGGGGCCAGCCTCCTGCCCGCGCTGGAGGGAGGGAGGGGGGGGACACAGAGCGGACACCCGCCGTCAGGACGGCGACACCCCGGGACCCACCCCGCGGAGGACGCCCCGGGCCCCGGCGCTCACCTGCACGCCGCCCGGCACAACATGCTGAGTCGCTCCCCGCAGCCGCTCTCCCCACGACACGGCCGTTCGCTCTTCAGCGCGCGTCCGCTCCGCCGCGTCCGCACGGCGTCTGCAAGGACGGCGCGAGGCGGTGACTCTGCCGGCCGCGACCATCAGCGCGGGGGGGGAGGCGGCGACACGGGCGCCCGGCCCGCGCCTAAGCGGCGCCCGGAGAAGCCAAGGCGTCCCCCGCACCGAGTTGGTAGCGCCCGCAAGCTTGCCGAGGCCCCGCCCCCTGTGTGGCCCCGCCCACAGCCCGGCACTGGCCCCGCCCCAGCCTGGGGTGGGGGTGTGGGCTGTGGGGCATCCCCTCCTCTTTCCCGGCTCGCCCCTTGGAAGCCCCGGACCTCGTCCTCCGGGAAGCCACGGCCCTGCTGCTGGTCAGAGCTGTGTTGTAACCAGGGCCCCTCTGAGCCAGCTACTTGTGCCCGGAATGACCTTCCCTGTTGACTTCTCCAGGCCCGAGTCAGGACCGCAGCCAGGTGTCTTGATCTCCCCACAGGCAGCCCAGCAACAGGGCTGCTGCTGCACCTTAAACCAGGTCTCAGGTTTGCATGTGTCCATCTTTTGTTACCCCTGGGGTTGGTATTCCTGACTCCAGGTGCAGCTTGCCGAGCCTCGCAGTTAACGAGTGAGAGTCGGAATTACCTGGACCCTGCACGATTTGTGGCTTCTGTCACTCCCAAAAACCAGCTGCTCAACCAAAAATAAAAGGACATTGTTTCCCTTTGTGGCCTTATAGTCTAATAGTCTAAACGTTTTCATAACAATTATATATAGACTTTAAGACGGCCTTCCTCTGCCACGGGTAGGATTTGGGTTTAAGCCTTCATTTGTTAGAACACATTATCAAGGGAAACAGAAGGCCGGTGGCTGCATAGTTACCCCCTTTGCAAACCTCCCAAGGATGACTGGGCTCGGGGTAAGAGGAATTGTTGACAAGCCTCAAGAGAAGTGCTGAGTGCCTGTGCTTGGGTGAAGTCAGGAATGGTGATGGTAGGCGTTAAGTGGGAAAGGTGCATGCAGAGGCGCCTTTCAAAACACAGGCTGTGTAAGAACAAGACAGGCTTGACAGCTGAGCATGGCGGGACACCTCTGTAATCCCAGTACTCTGGATGTCTGCATGCCAAGGCCGGAGGATTGGGAGATCAAGGCGTCTGGGCTACACATTAAAACCACACGCGCACACTCGCACACATGCACGTACAGATACTGGAGTTGGCTGGGAGGTGGCTCAGTGGGTAGAGTGTCTGCTGTGCAAGCATAAGAATATGAGTTCAGATCCCCAGCACCCACATAAAAGCTGGCTGTGGTGGTACCTAGCTGGAGGTCCTGTGCTGCTGGGGTAGTGGTGGAGGCAGATGGTACACAGGGAATCGATGAGCTTCAGCTTCAGGGAGAGACCCAGTCTTTCAAAATAAGCTAGAGACCGATTCAGGAAGATAGCTGCTCTCTGGCCTCCGTGAGAACAGCACCCACAGTGTGTATGCACCCGCATGAACATGTACATACACCACACACATATAAAAAGGGGATGGGGAGACAGGCTGAGCTCTATCGTTGGGGTGTGAGGTACATTTCCCATGAATGAGCTCAGATTTAGAGGAAACAACCTGGTGTGTCTTTTTATATCACCAGTTGGTGACTGCTGGCTTCTTCAAGCTATTGGTACCAGATAATAGGATCCCAGGGCCTGGAAACAGTACAGCTGAAATGAAGCCCCTGGACATGGTGGTACATGCATGTACTCCAAGCACTCTGGAGGCAGAGGAAGGAGATGTCTTCAAGTTCCAAATACTACAAATGGGAAGACAGGCAAGCTCCCCTTTTTTGAGACATCAGCCCAAGCAGGCCAACTTCAGTTTAAGCCAAAGGGAGACATCAATAATTAAGGGGGGGGGGACCTAACAATGAAGAATAGCAAGCCTTTATTGAGTTGTGGGTGAGGGGAGACTAAAGTTTGGTAATTGTGCATTACTCATGAACATAGTTGCAAAAGATATCCTTCTTGTATGCAAATATTGGCCTTGAGGTTTCCAGGATGTCAGGCAGAGGCTTTAGCAGAGGAACTGCTGAGTCTTTCTTGACATCATCATCTTGCATAAACATCTTAGCCTCATGGTTTGGTTTGGACCGCACTGCATGGCTGAAGGACAAGAAGTTCTGGAGACTCCGAGGGAAATGGGTTGGGGCAGAAGAAACATGCTCCAGAGAGCAGCAGACCAACTTCTCACTGTGCTGGGCTCTTCAAGGAAACGTTTCCCAAATTTGCAACAGGTTGAGTTGAGTCTGACTGGAGCTAAACCAGGAGGGGCAGACACAACATGAAGACACAGACATGCAAATGTTTCATGCCACTTAAGTCACCCACTGGGTGGGCAACTTGGGCAAAGAGTCACAGTTTGTAGCAATGGTTCTCTAAATCCACGCTGTAAAAGCTAGCAGGAAGCTAGCGTGTTGTGGCCTCCAGAGGGCTTTTGGGGGGGGGGGATTGTTATGCCGGTTTCTTATAACAGTTTCTCCTCGGTTTTGTCATTGGTGTAGCCATCTTGAACCCCAGTTGTGTTGACTTATTAAGTCGTAAGGGCCCCTGGTCTATAAACATTGTGGCCTTATAGTGGAGTATGCTTTTAACGGTAACAGTTACAGTCCTGTGTTGCCTGCTTGCTTTTAACAGGTAACAGTTAGGGTCCCGGAGTTTGCCCCACTTCCCCCCTTGTGGGAATCCCCACTTGTTGCAAATGTATCTTTGATTCATTGTAAAATAAAAAAAAAAATCTGAAATTCTGTCAGCTGGAAGGAATGTTGGCACATTTGCGAATTGTGTGATTTGTGTTCTTGAAGGACCAAAAATTAAATGTAATGAAAGTTTAAAAACTTGGGCCCTAAATCTATACAGAGAAAGGGAACTTCTCATGGTAAAGGAAAGTTTTAACTCCTTGAATCGGGAGTGCCATGGCTGGCGCCTGAGCCCTCTCTCAGAGAAGGGGAGGTGACTGGCCACCACCCACATCAACATTCCTATGTCTGCTAATTGCTGGTCATAAAGGTCCCCTGATGGCTGTAAAGATCCCTCAGTGCAGGGGTTAACTGAAAGGCCCTGTGACCCTGTAACCCTGCAAGCCCCTGCCCTGTCTTATCTTTCTCAAATGTATCTTGCTTAAAATATATAGTTACTGCTTTAGTCTGTACTTTGTGTGACCTTAAGTAGCCATGGAAACTCTGGAATTTGTGGCCTTCAACCTCATGGTCTTGCCCTTTAAAAGCTTCCTTTTACGCCTGGTTGGCAACTCATACCCCCCCCCAAGCTGGCCAGCTTGAAAAATAAAGAGAAACCTTTGCGTTTGCATCAGAATTGTCTGGCTCCTTGGGTTGGTCTAGGGCTCTGGGAACCTGACACAACAGTTCTGTTACTGGAAATTTCCTTGGGATTTTGGGTTCTACCCATTTTATGTAACCTTTCTTTTGCTTAAAAACACACACACACACACACACACACACACACACACACACACACACACATGGGAATTGAGAGTTTGGGAATTTTGGCTTTAGGATTTCAGCACTACACTTTTCCAGAACTGTAACTATAGAACTTTTACATTTTAGGGATTTGGATTCTTTTGGGATTTGGATTTGGTTCCTTTGGGACTTCAACATTTGGAGGAGGGGAAAGGAGGAGAGAGACAAACATCAGCTTATGCTGGGAATAATTCATCCCTTGGGCTGACAGGATGACTCAAACTCGGCCAATGTACTATTTAATATAGCAAGTTCAAGGCCAGCCTGGGTCACATGAGACCTGTCTCAACACACACACACACACACACACACACACACACACACTATCAGCAGGAAGAACATGGCTCCCAACAGCATATAGCGCAGTTCCCCAGTAAAATTTGTTGGAAATGCAGTAGTTGTTAGGCATCTAGGCACTGGAGCCTCCTCGGGAACCATGTGACTCACACTGACTGGGTGGACAGGATGAACATTACAGAACAAGACAGAAAAATGACTTTCACCAGCCGTTGGTGGCACACACCTTTAATCCCAGCACTTGGAAGGCAGAGGCAGGTAGATCTCTGTGAGTTCGAGGCCAGCCTGGTCTACAGAGCAAGTTCCAAAAGCTACAGAGAAACCCTGTCTGGAGAAACAAAGCAAAGCAAAAAGTGACTTTCAAAGGATGCCTTTCTTTTTGCTGATGTAAATTTTCTAGTTGATCGGATGTCCCCCAAAGGATGTGTCTTGAAGGCTTGGTCTGGAGATGCAAGGTAAAACCTTCAGGAGGTGAGGCCAGTGGAAGACATGAAGTCACTGGAGGAATGTTCTTGAAGAAGTTTCTGGGAGCTTCCTGGCAGGATGAGATGAACAGGGTTCTTCTGTATGTACTTCTGCCGTGATGCACCATGCTGGCATAGGTCCCAGACAACAGAGGTGAACAATCAAGAGACCACGGGATGAACTCTGAAACCAGGAGGAAAGAAACAGCCAATATGTTTACCATTCATTCAAAGCAATGCGGAATGCCGCTTGGCAGTATATAAAAGTGACTTCCGTTATACTTTGATGTCCTATTGGGAATGGATGGATTTCGATACTATCATAAGTCAACTGCCATGGTAGTTTGAATGCAATTTGTTTCCATTAGCTCATGAGGAGTGGCACTATTAGAAGGTATGGTTTTGTTGGAGTGGGTGTGGCCTTGTTGGAGGAAGTGTGTCACTGTGGGGGTGGGCTTTGAGGTCTCCTATGCTCAGGATACCACCCAAAGTCTCAGTCAACTTCCTGTTGCCTGCAAGATGTACAACTCTCAGCTCCTTCTCCAGCACCATGTCTGCCTGCATGCCACCATGCTCCTCACCATGATGATAATGGACTAAACCTCTGAAACTATAAGCCACCCCAATTAAATGTTTTCCTTTATGAGAGTTGGTATGGTCATGTTTCTCTTCACAGCAACAGAAACCCTAACTAAGACAGCTACTTAATAAATATTTACTGGGGTCGGTTAGCTGGCTCACTGGATAAAGGGTAAAGGTACTTGCTGCCAAAGCTGAGGACCTGAGTT